CCCACGCTGCACGAGGGTCATAGCTTAGTCCATTATGCTCCCTCTCTCCCTCCCTATTTTTTGTCTCTCTCTCTCTCTCTCTCTCTCTCAAATATAAATATTACACTGTACTGATGTGCGTGCGTGTGTACGTAAGAGTGTGTACGTGAATGTGTGTGCACGTAAGAGTGAGTGTACGAATATGTGTATACGTAGTTATGTACATGTGTGTACGTGAGTGTATTGTATGAGTGTATGTGTGTGTGTGTACGTGTGGGAATGTGTGTGTGTGTGTATAAATGTGAACGTGTGTGTGTGTGTGTGTGTAAGAGATGCAGCTCCATCAGATCATTTAAAGTCTTGGGACACTTTCTTCGCCATCTTGTTTACCAACTTCTCTCATGCTGCTTGGGAGAGAGACAGAGGGAGAGATGCATTTTTTCTCAATTTGACTTTTTCTCGAGTGGGTGGTGAGAACGTATTTAATTGACTCACTGAAACGCGGCCACACAAAGATCGTAGCTATTAATGGCGTCAGAATTACCCGTAGACGGAAGGGGTGTCTCTCAGCTGAATAAAATCATCTGGCGTTATCCTGAATAAAATACCGTAAGTGCGTTACTCTCTAAAAGGTTAATATAATTCTACCTTAACTGAATGCGTTTGTTAAATATTCTACCTTGGTGAAATACGCTTATAAGACTCATAATTTGATGTTTTTTTCCTAATCTATAGTTATTTTATTTGTGTTTTTTTTTAAGATTCAACTATAACTAGATTTTTTTAAGGCCGCCATTAATGATCGTTGTTAGATTTATTTTCTTTTTATAGATTATTGTAATTAGATGCGCTTTTTTTTAATCTGAATTTACGAAAGAAGAAGGGTGAAGGAAGGGGAGAGGGCGTGGTGGAGTGGGGAAGAGGAGGGGGCGTTGTGATGAGGGGAGAGGGCGTGGTGGAGTGGGGAAGAGGAGGGGGCGTGGTGGTGGGGAGGCGGTAGAGGGGAGGTGGAGGAAAATAAACCCGTGAATCTCTGAGAATATCCGGGTGTTGACTGGTTGGTGACAAGAGGCAACAAGAGAGGGATTGTTCCTCCCCCTTCTTGATAGGTGCTCAAATTTCCTCCGTCTCTCAGATAATAATCAAATTTAATTCCGGTAAAAGCTGGGGCATGATGACGGACAATGGCGGGTCTCGGCTAGCCTTGGTGAGGGACGGAGACAGACGGCGAGAGACAGAGAGACGAGCAATCAGAGAGACAGACAGACAGATAGAAGGGCAGACAGAAAGATAAAGATAGAGAGAGATCGTAGGATTTTTTTCGCGCCTTCTTCTGATGTGTGAGTTGGTTCAATTATTATAATTATTATCCATTAACTAACACCATCTTACGTGCGTGCACCAACTAATAATTTTTCCTCTTCTAACTGCGCGCACGCTTAAGCACACATTTTGCACGCGCTAGCTGAATGGAAACGCGATACTCCTCCGCCAGCATCTGTGTTGTCAGCGAGGAGACGTTATCACGCGCCATTATTAACCAGACAAGAGGTGCGGGTGGCTGAATGTGATAATTGCCCCTCGCCCACTATAACATCCCTCTGGATGTGGGGCACACATTTTCTGAAATATTTTTTCCTCTTTCATCTTATTAATGCACTTTTCTTAATTAAACTAGATGCGTTTATTCTTCTTTGGTGAATGAGCTGTGTCGGAAATTACTTTAAGGTAGTGAGGGACAGAGAGACATAGGAAGAAACTCAGTTTGAGAGGTGGGCAGAGAAAGAGACTGAGAGAGGCAGAGACATTGTGTAGTTTATTTTATTCTTACGTCCTTATAATATATTAATAAAGTGACAGTTTATGTGCCTGATCCATTACCTAAACTAACCCAATGACACATTTACCAGGACAGCTCTCTGCCAATGATCGTAAACACGTAATTAATGATAAATAAACGATAAAGGATAATATATGACCTCCTCGTCCCCATTACAGATAACCTCGATAATAAATGTACTAGGTAGATTTTTATACTCCGGCTCCCTCTGTTTTGGTGTTGACGTCACAGATAAACAGTTATCGTACGAGAATCAAGAGTTGTCGTTTCAATAACCATAGGATTTGTGGCTTTCGATATGGATAAATAACGAGGGTATAACTCAGACATTCTCGCTGGTTCATTGCTCAACAAATAACAATTACGATAACAATAACCACAACAATCACGCGGTTAATAACAATCAATTACGTGCCGCGCGTCGCTTGGTCCGCACCCTGAGAATTTCCTAGCTCAGGATGTACATAAAGAATCGTAGTATTTTTTTTCCCTAACTGGATATGGTAACATTGTTTAGTTGATTCACTTAAGGGGGGAGATATGGAGGGATAGAGAGAAAGAGACAGAAGAAAGTAAGTGAAAGAGTGAAACAGAGAGAGAGAGTCATAGTGGGGGATCATGGTAGGGGGCCTCAGGCTATGGGATCACTTTGTAATGCTAAACCCCCTGAAGTACGCTTAAGGGGTAGACCCATACTGGAGTTCTGTGCTAGTTGAGGGAGAGAAGGGGGGGGGGACGTTATTTAACTATTATTAATTGTATTATTTTTGTTTTATGGTAATGTTGTACGGTGGTAGTTGTATTATTATTGTTGTTTTTGTTATTATATTCACTAATTATTATTATTATTATTAGTAGTAGTAGTAGTGGTAGTAGTAATAGTATTGTTTTTTTGTTGCTGTTGTACCGAAAGTAATTACTATTCCTACCATTATTATTCAGTAAATACGTCACATCACCAACAACTAAGACCCCAAAAAATAATTAAACACAAGAATATTAGATAATCTGACACCAGCTGACTATTACCCCACTAGTGATGTGTAACAAGTGTTGCCAGATTATGTTGGGTGGACAGATGCGGGTGAGGGGAGTGTGGTGGGGAGGAGAAGTGAGAGGTGAGGGAAGGGAGGATGAGAAGAGGAGAGGGAGGGGGAGGAAAAGGTAAAAGAGGGAAGGGAGGATGAGGATAGAAAATAAGAGAGGGTGAGGGAGTGGAGGATGAGGAGAAAGGAGAAGAGAGATGTGAGGGAGGGGATGAGAAGAGAGCGAGAGAGAGTAAAAGGAGATGGGGGTGGAAGATGAGCGGAAGAGGGAGAAATGAATGAGATGGGAGAGGGGGAAGAAATAGAAGGAAGGGGAGTGAGAGGAGAAGTGGGTGGGAGAAAGGAAGTAGGGTGGTGATGGAAGAGAAAGATAGATAGGGAGAGAGATAATCTATTTACGCTGCTTTGTAATAAATAAAAAATAATGCGGGTACTTAAAACACGACCCTCCCTTCTTTCCCCTGTGTCACCCATGAGTCACTGTTGAGTCAATAACAGACTTATAGGGTAAAAGACACTAGTGAGTCAACGTTGAATGAGAGGGTGAGTCATTAGGTGCGTTAGGGGATTATTAGGTGAATCTGAGGGATCCATTTTGTCATTAGGCGAACCAGGGTGAGTCACTGAGTCATTTTGTGAGTCAGTGAGCCATTATCTGAGTTAGTGAGTCATTTTGTGAGTCAGTGAGACATTCTCTGAGTTAGTGAGTCATTTTGTGAATCAGTGAGCCATTATCTGAGTTAGTGAGTCATTTTGTGAATCAGTGAGCCATTCTCTGAGTTAGCGAGAACATTTAGTGAACCAGCGTGAGTAAATTGGTCATTAGTCGAGTCATTTTAAGAGTCAGGAGAGTGAGTCAGAAGGTAGCATAGGTTAAGTTGATGGCACTGGCAGACGTTGTTTCAGCCAGAAAGAACCAATCAGTATAGGACTTGCCCGCATGCGAGTGGGTTCTGCCAAGTCTCGTCCGGGCACGTGGCGCGGACGTGGAGGCGCGTGGCTCCCTTCCTGTTGATGGTTCCTCCTCCCTCAGCGTCTCCCCAGCGCCTACCACACGTACCTCCACGCCCACGCTGACCACCATCAATTCCCCTCTCCCACTATACCTCCCTCACGCCCACTGTCTTTCCCCCACGCCCACTATCCCTCCTTCACGCCCACTGTCTTTCCCGCACGCCCACTATCCCTCCTTCACGCCCACTGTCTTTCCCGCACGCCCACTACCCCTCCCTCACACCGACTGCTCTTCCCTCACACCTATTCTATCTCTCCCACGCCCACTCTCTCTCTCCCACGCCCACTCTCTCTCCCCAACTCACCCCCCTCCCCCATGGTCGTGTACGTGTGAATGGAAGTCTGCCAGTTGGGTTAATTAAATGACTTAGTGTACATCAAGGTAAAGGTAGAGTGATGGCTCCAGCTCTACCTGTGGTAATTAATGTGTGGGGCCCATATCCGGTGCTGTCCTGTGGCTGAAAGTGTTGGGTGATGTGTTGGATGATGTTGGATGATGTGGTTGGTGCTGATAAATCCGCTTACAAGAACGTCAAGAGAACCACGAATCCACTTACACAAACATAAAAAATAGTCTCTCTCTCTCTCTCCGTTCCCACGGGGAGGTCAGAGGTCAGGATTGTACCACCGAGAATAACACCACTAATGACCTCCTAATGTGACCTGACCCGCCAGAGTTCAACCTGGGTCACAACAGTTGATCCGATCTACAGGTGACTCGCACGTGTTTAACTTCGTTTCCCTTCTCAGTGACCCAGCGAGGTCAATGAGGGGATGTGTAAGTGACCTTAAACGTGTGCTGGTTCCCACAGGTCAGGTCAACCGAGGGAATACTGAATATGTAAACAAAATCTCGTGTGTGTGTGTGTGTGTGTGTGTAACTGTGATAATGTCAATTATTACTATTATTAATATTGTTAATAATATATTAGTAGTACGAATGTTATTATTGCTGTATTATTATTATTATTATTATTATTATTACTATTATTATTATTATTACTTTATTATTATTATTTTAATTATTGCTATTATTATTGTTACAACGACCACTAATACTATTATTGTTAATTGTAGTAACAGTGTACTAGTAGTAACATTAAGAAAATAAAATAACTGGATGGTCAACTATTCTTTAATAACAAACAATTACCTCATCATCATCATGGGTGGTTATATAGGGGTTACATAGAGGTCATGGGTGGTTATAGAGGGGTTACATAGAGGTCATGGGTGGTTATAAAGGGGTTATGTAGAGGTCATGGGTGGTTATATAGGGGTTATGTAGAGGTCATGGGTGGTTATATAGGGGTTATGTAGAGGTCATGGGTGGTTATGTAGGGGTTAGGTAGAGGCCATGGGTGGTTATAGAGGAGTTTTGTATCGGTCATGGGTGGTTATATAGGGGTTAGGTAGAGGTCATGGGTGGTTATGTAGGGGTTAGGTAGAGGTCATGGGTGGTTATAGAGGGGTTATGTAGAGGTCATGGGTGGTTATATAGGGGTCATGGATGGTTATGTAGGGGTTATATAGAGGTCATGGGTGGTTATAGAGGGGTTATGTATCGGTCATGGGTAGTTATACAGGGTTTATGTAGAGGTCATGGGTGGTTATATAGAGATTATGTAGAGGTCATGGGTGGTTATATAGAGATTATATAGAGGTCATGGGTGGTTATAGAGGGATTATGTATCGGTCACGGGTAGTTATACAGGGTTTATGTAGAGGTCATGGGTGGTTATATAGAGATTATGTAGAGGTCATGGGTGGTTATATAGAGATTATGTAGAGGTCATGGGTGGTTATAGAGGGGTTATGTATCGGTCATGGGTGGTTATAGGGGGGTTATGTAGAGGTCATGGGTGGTCGTACAGGTGGGGGGGGGTGATAGAGGCGTCGTGAAGGACTCGTGAAGACTCCTGATGGGGTCGTACAGTGGACGAGGGCAAGAGGGTGGTCACAGGCCGTTGTAGAGGGGGAGGCAGGCGTGGTGGGTGGCGTACGACCCAGAGTCCTGCAGAACGGCGCCGGGGCCACACAGCCAGGGGTCGTAGGTCTGGTTCTGCCACGCCCACAGCCGCGCGCGCAGCTCCCCCAACACGTCCTGGTAACGCCCCTTGTGAGCCACGTTGAACTTCTCGTCGGGGTCGAAGTGGAGGTCGTACAGTTCCCACTCGTCGCGGTAGTAGTAGTTGCGGAGGGTCTTGTACCAGGGGAGCGGTAGTGACGCCCTCGTACGGTTGAGGATGTCCTGGAACACTGGCGAGAGGTAGAAGTCCTGGTCGATGGGGAAGGGCATCTTGTAGTTGAGGTTGTGGATGAGCTTGTAGGACGGGGTACGGATGGCCCTCATGGGGTAGTACATCGTCACCTCGTGCAGGTCGTGGCTGGCATACACTGCAGGCTCCGACCTGATTATACCCACGTCCTGCAGCCACACGCCTAGTTCTTGCTTGGACACGTCCAAGCTTGGCTTCGGATCGCCTGCGTCCGGCTGCCCGTGGTCGAGGTAAGGTAGCAGTGATTTGCCTGTGAGCACCGCAGGTTGGCGCTTGTTGATAATGGTGTAATTGGGGTAAGAGACTTGCAGCCATTCGAGGACGGTGGGTGTGAGGTCGAGGTGGGAGGCAAGGATGGTGGAGGTGTTGCCCCACGACGCCGAGTGTTGCGGTGACGACACCAGCAGGGGCTCCACCAGGCCGGGGTCGTACAGGTTGGTCCTGCCGGCGGGGAAGGGGATGCCGTTGTCTGAGGTGTACACCACTAAGGTGTCGTTGAGGTGTCCGGCGCTCGCCAGCTCGGCCATCATGAGCCCCACGCCCTGGTCCAGCCGCGACAGTGTCGTGTACTGCGCCGCCAGGTCTTCTCGTGCCGCAGGCGTGTCCTGCACGAAGTACGGCACCACCACCTGGGCGGGGTCGTACGTTACCGGGTGCCAATCAGGTATGGTGCCCATGCCGGGCTCCCCGTTGCCAAATTTCTCACAGAACTGGCCGTACTCGGGGTGGGTGTGGCCGCAGCGGTGAGGGTCATGGAAGCCCACGTACAGGAAGAAGGGCCGCGTGTTGTTGGTGTCGAGAAACTGCCGCACCAGCTGCCGAATGCGGGTTATGTTCCGCCCCACTTGCATGATGGACTCTGTCTCCTCCGTGTGAGCGAAGTCGAAAGGATAAACAGAGTCCGGTCCGACGTGCTTCTTACCCACGAGGCCCGTACGGACCCCAGCAGCTGCCACGATCCCCGGCAGACTACGGACGTCATCAAATGAGTTAAAGTGGTGGTAGCCTTGGTGGAGGCCGTACATGCCATTCTGGTGTGTGGGGAGGCCCGTCAAGATGGCGGAGCGGGAGGGCGAGCAGCTACTGACGGACGTGAAGGCTCGGGTGAACACTGTGCTGCGTTTGGCCAGTTCGTCCAAATGCGGCGTCTTACACACAGTGTTTCCGTACGCCTGTAAAACATAACTTGTTTACCTCTTGGGTGCCACACACGCGTGAACTACCACCGTACAGTATATAGTTATGCCAAGCTCTGGAGTGTATCTCAGAGGTGGAGAGTCTTAGTTTGGGTAACCTTGCCTGAATAGGGCTCTTGTATTCTATGAAAAATATGAAAATTGGTCTTACTCAGGCAAAACATGATAAAATAGGGGTTTTATCCAGTGAAATTGGGAAAATGGGAGCCTTACATGGAAAAACCTTATTAAATTAGGCACCTTAGTTAATAAAATTTTGAAATTAGGAGTCTTAGGGGAAAAATCCTTGCCAAACACACACTAACTGACAGCCGACCCACCCCGAGACAAAACACCTCATGCGGCCAACACCTGCAGTTGTTACACCGTCAACAGGCCTACAGCGTAACATTGTGACATAACGATGGCGTCAAAATTGCTCCTTGAATTCTGCAGTAGGTTTGTTTGTCTCCAGTTAAAGGAAGGAACATGTTACCTTAAAAATATTTCTCTGTTGGGCTTAAAATAATTTAGGTACTGTATATATCTGTACCTAAATATAGCTTAGGAATGTTACTGTTATTGAATAAAAGACAACACTTAACTCACCTTCATCTCCAGACCAGCATCATCTGACACCATCATGAGCACGTTTCTACTCATCACCATCCTCGTCACCATTACCATCGTCACCATCACTTTCATCATCGTCGTCATCATCGTCACCTATGGAATAAGTTTAGAGTTCACACACACACACACACACACATATATATATATGCAAGTAAATCACTGTAGGTGCGCGTGATCTAGGTATATGCTGATAACCACAAGGAAAGAAGGAAACACGAAGTTCCCAAGCGCTTTCGTGTAATTCACATCATGTTGAGTAATGGCATGTACAAACTGGACAATTTTGTAATTAAGAAGATTTGTAACCAGGTGAGAAGGTTGGGTCACCTTACCCTCTGACCTGACTACCGACGGTTGCGATGCTTTTTAAAGATTAGTAGGGTCATTACCTAATACCTGACCATTGTGGACCTGATCTCACCCTCCTCTGGTTGAGTCCAGATTCTTTCTACTCCTACTGTATTTCAGTTTCACCACTTTTTCTTCAACCCCTAATAATCTTCTTTCACATAACTAATGACTCCGTACCGTACCGTCTCCTTAGACTGTACTCACCCTTGAAGATGTGAATTACACGAAAGCGCTTGGGAACTTCGTGTTTTCTTCTTTCCTTGTGGTTATATATATATATATATATATATATATATATATATATATATATATATATATATATATATATATATATATAGATATATATATATATATATATATCACTGGTTGCCCGTGGTCCATTTATATGCTGATAACCACAGAGGGAGAAAGCAAACACGACGTTCCAAAGCACTTTCGTGTAATTCACATCTTCAGGGGTGAGAAACGGATAATATTACAGACAGACAGACCAAGATTAAGTTTTATAATAACTGCATGCAACATAAAAAAATGCATTTGTAAGCTTTAAATAATAATTATTATCATTAGCACACATTTGCAGGGGCGGATCCAGGAATATCTAAAGGGGGTGGGGGTCCAAAAAGTTGTGGGTGGGAGCAAGGTAGGTAGAATCAGTGGCTCCAATTAAAATAAAACAAAAAATCTCCATTCCATACATTTATTGTACAACTTTTAATACCACCATAAGCCTTCAAAAATGCGTAAATAAAAATTTCATTTTTATTTTCATTAACGTAGATCCTATGGGAGTGAGGCTACCTGTTATCTACCTACCTTGGGTGGGAGAGCTGTAATTTTCTTGAAATCTGACCAATATCATGGGCATTTTGAAGCCATGTGCACTCGATATTAGGAGATATTCTGAAGTCAATGATAAACACTTTTTACTGTACAAAAACGCCTGAGTACAACACTGCATTAAAGAAAAAGTATTAGAATTTTCTGGTGAAAGGGGGGCGGGGGGGGACCGCTGGATCCGCCTGTGCACATTCTGTCTTACCTCTAGATGAGTTTTGTATCTGTTGTGGGGAATAAAACGGCTATTGCCAAACCTGTACGGTAACATGAGCGAGTGATCTAGTGCACTACCAGGATGGAGGAACAAAGCCGACAATCAGTTGAGACCACTCTTGATAAGCTGAGTAAGATCACTTAAATTTAGAGGTACCCAGTTGTATACTACGGAGTTAATAGATCGAGGAGATTCACCAATAAATATAATATATTTCAACACTGAATATATTCCATGCTTATGCTAATCTGTTAGTTTTTTTTTTAACTTAAATGCTTTGATAAGGATTTAGTATACCTTATGTGTTGGAAAAAACACCGATTTTTAGTAAGTTTGCTCCTCAGAACGCACCCATTATCCTCCCTCGCCTCTCATTGGTAGAGTTCCTGTTGGCCTCGAAGCTGATTGGCGGACGATCTACACGCCCCCTAGCCTAGAGACGTATGATCTAAAATATTTTTCTATGATCGAAATATATTTGCTTATATAATAATAATATCTATATACACAACTGAAATAATGAATAAATATATAATAATATTTTATAATGGTAAATATAGATTAAATATCTAACTTTGACGTGAATTGTTAATGTGTTATTAGTAAAGTTATTAGCTCCGTAGGCTCTGGAACAAGGTAAACAAACATGGCCGGAACAACGTCGACAGGGAAGAGGCTCGTCCGCTCGAAATCAGGATTGAGAATCATACCTCTGAATGATTGTGACAGGAGTCCATTTGAACTGTCAGAACCAGAATGGATACCCGATAAGTTGGTAAGAGTATGATGGTGATGGAAGTCCTGTGTAGAGAAGTAGAACATAATGTCAACTTTCTACTTCTTCCTTTTAATTATTTTACTTGTTGATTAATATGATTTGTATAGTTTCTCTCTCTTATTTATTAATATTTTTCTGGTGTTGTGCTTCTAGGGTAATGATTATACAGATTTCTCCTATGGAAAATAGATAATTAGTAATTATCTAGAATAATAGTTTTTGTATATTTTCATAAGGTCACACAGTTGTTGGAAGTCATTGACAACAAAGAATTGGCCGAGGCAACTAACATAATGACAATTGGCAGTCAGTTTCGTCAAAATATGGCATAAAATTCCAGACGCCTTGTTAATGGCAAAAGGAAACTACTGTACAGTACATGAAAAAATCAAGAAATATTAGGATGGGTACTGGTAAGTGCTGGTAATAGAACATACACTAAGTCACATTGGCAGTACCACGTGATTTTAATGAAATAGAAAAACTGGATGATAAATATGTAGAAAGGAAGATAATATGAAAGGTGATGGCTTTAACTTAATTATAGATGTTTTTTCTGGGAGTATCACTAAAGTAGTCATATACAGAAAACATGGTAGAGTACATAGACGGGAATTATTGGGCCTGCCTGCATCACAAGCTCAAGATGACAGCATTTGCTGATGAGTATAGTATACATTGTGTATACAGTAGTATATTTTGTTTATTTACAATATATTTTACATGTACTGCAATATCTGCATAAATAAATACGGCTCTGTGTGTCCGAGTGAGATGCTTAGTTTAGACTCTGAAAGCTTTCCCCAGGATGTAGAAGCATTCCAGGGTTGTGCTATAGTGTCTGTCTGTGTGAGGTGCATAGTTTAAACTCTCTGAAAACTTGCCCCAGTACCCAGAAAAATTCTGGGGGTGTGCAATTTTTTCCAGGGATGAAACTTCATCTTCACGCCCAGAAATCTCTCATTCCCAGAAGAGCTCTGCACCAACAGGGATATTACAGTACAGTACCTATTAGAACACAGGTACCTCATGTAAGCTGGGTGTGGTTTATGTATATAATTTTACCACTTGCTGCTCTTTTTTAAACCATGTTAAAATGTAAATTAGAGGTAAATAAAAGCACATAACACTGAGATCTGAACTAGTGGATGCAAACAATTGTAGATGCATAGGGAACTGCAGTAATACCAAGACAGTCAATCACACACATTGTGCTGGACATGAAAGGCTTAACTTTTACAGTATTATATATCTCGCAGAGAATTTTTTCAAGTCTTTCTTGCTTAATGCAGTGTGACCAAAACAACACACACATACTAAATAACTGAAGAACGAACCAAATTCTCAATTTCTACAAATGATGTGTTCTCTATATATTTACATCATTATCCTTATAATTCACTGTCTGTTATTTCTTTTGGATTTTGTTAAGAAATTTTGAATACCTACATCCTTTCCATATTTGTTATTTACCTATGCTTTATTTTTTTTTGTCTCTCTCACCTGCATATACTGTACAACAACATACAATGTGACATCATCTTCATTTCAGAGTCCCACATGCATGGATTGCAAGGAGAAGTTTGACTTTATAAAGAGAAGGGTAAGTCAAATAGAGTATCATGTCATTATTCAGTGTCAGTTTGATCCAACAAGAACATTGTCAAACACCATCTCAAAATTAATTTAATAACTTCAGTATACTTGAGTCTTTTTGTATCATAGGAGAACTTTCTTATCTCTAGTGAACCAGCCATTGTAGGTAGTAAATGACAAGCACTGAGGTTCAGGAACTTGGGTTTAGTTGAGATTTTCTTTACCACTGATGCAGAATTTTGGAAGTGGTGTTGATGTTAAACAATACCCGTGTGATGGTCCATTTTCTGTTGTGTGTAAAAATTCATGTTTACCCTTAAACTAACTTGGAATTTTTTGATACGTACCTTATTGTAAGAGTCTGTAAGCACCCAGTCCTCTCATATAGTTAATACAGGCTAGTGAGAAACCAGGAAGAAATGTAAGAAGATAAGGGGTGTGGGGATCCTCCTCCAGCCAGGGACACTACTGTTAGGATGATAGATTGGTGATACTGTACTTGGAAATGTCTTTCTTTCACGGGATGGAAATTAAGAGCGTGTACAGCTGTCTGTCAGTGATAAACATAAGCTCCGTCAACCTTGGAATACTGTATAGTACAATATTAAACGAGTAGAGAAATAAATAATTCGGGTTGAACAGTAGATGGTATGTTAGTCACCGGCAACTTAAGAATTGAAAGATTTTGCTTGCTGGCAATACTTCTGCTCTTGAGAATTTTGTGTTTAATAAACCGAAGTATGAGAGGAAAAGAGCTTATCTCTTTATCTTATCTATAACACTTCACTCCAGGGAGATGACCACAACAGAGACCTCATACCAGCCTCTCACTACATCTCTTCACTTCCTCCCCTCTATCCATAATACTTTATATTGCTCTACCGTTCTTTCCCTCAACCCAACATGCCTGCTACATCGTTCTTGTATTGTACACTGTTTTTCCATTCTTATCCTCGAGCATCCATCCTTCTCACGTGTCAGTACCATCTCGGGAAAGCTTTCACCTGCATCCATTCCACCACTTCACATTTTAGCTCATGCCATACTTCTTCAGCCTTGTCGAATTATAATTTGCTTACATACTGGTAATTTATGTTTCTTTCCTTTTTTTTTCAGTCTCTTGTATTTCTGTGTTGTCACCCAACACAGACTCTATCACTCTTTCCCCTTCCACAGCTTTTTGTTGTGTTGTATAATACTGTTGTCTGTAAGAGCCCACCAAGCTCTTTTTTATGTTTTATTTACCCCCGTTTTTTTCTACAGAGTGTAACAGTGTAGAGTGAGATCAGATCAGACACCCCTGATTATAAGTAATACCTAGAGTAGGCTGAAGCCATGATAGTTAAGGCTGTTAATTGTAAGTCCCTGATATTTTAAGCACCACTGCCGACGCTGTGGTCGAGTGTGCTGCGGCTCCTGCTGCGACACTCGTATGGCCTTGCCTAGAATGTGCTTCCTTGACCCAGTGAGGATGTGTTCGCCATGTGCTGAGACAACAACAAGAGAAAACCACTTTTACAACAAAGACCTCAAGACTCTTATTACTGGTTAGCTTTTGCTTTATTTTATCTTTTGTGTATACTGTACTGGATAGTAGTGATTAAGGTGTTTTTTGAAATATTTAATGTCATTCACAAACAGACAGACATACTGTACTGCATTAAGCTATTACAATCTCTCCTTGGTACTCCATGTGTGGTAAACATCAATGATAATAATAATAATGTAGTTTTTAACAGTACAGTAGTTTTATTGCTTGTGAATGACACATGAGTGTACTGTACAGAATGGACAGTATAGTGTTCAATATGTTATCACAGTGTGCTTCCTTATGAATTTAGTACAAGTAAATACTAGCACTGTCTTATGTGTCGTCAAGGGGCCATACTGTGCCTAGCAACAGACACTGCATCGGACTTGGTGCAGTGCCGCCTCTCCCCTGACCATCGGTTCTTCATTGTCTCCGGTCCCTTCAATGATTCTGCACCGCCTCTGTCCATCCCGATGCACCGAATGACTGGGCTCCAAGTGAACAATAGAGACCAGGTGAGATTTCGTCTGGACTCTAGATTAGGTCCTGCAAGCTCGTAGCACATCTATCTGTTGGCTTCAAGAAATGATTACCATAGCTTCAAAGGTGAAATATATTATCCCTCTCAGCCTCTCGGGATGCTATTGTGGCGTCGAACATAAAAGGCGAAAAAACGTATGCTCAGCCTCGTGACACCAATGTGGCACCACGCCACGTCCAGTGGGCTAAATTTTGAAATAACTCAAAAACTATTCAGTGAAACTGACTTAACTTTGGATGCCATTTGACAGACGTCGTTTTCTTTTTGTGGGCCTTATCACCTTCCCCTAGACGGTCTTGGTCATCGTGTGCGTGGTAGCGCAGCTTGAAGCCAGTGTCGCTCTGGCCATTAGAGCGAGACGAGGGTGCGCCGTTCAGCCCTTTAATTATTCCATGAGTTTTTGTGTTAATATTTTTCCTTATACCACAATATTCTACATGCTTTTTTCTTTATTTTGGTATATAGTACATATCAATGAACACCATAACACAAGGAAAATGTAAATGGAAATCTAGATGATACTAAACATTTTCCTACTTTTTCAAATAATACTCGAAAAAATTGGTTTAAAATTCAATAATTTTCAATTTTTTATGGTTTCATACAATTTTTCAGACAGTTTTACACAAGAAGAGACCCCATTGCAATTCATAAAACAATTTCGTGGCAGTGAAATGAGCTCTTAAAAATATAAATTTTTTCAATGATTTTTTGGCAAAAACCTCCGAGACTGAGCGTAAGTTTTCATGCACGTATGTGTCTCAGGCTCCGAGGCTGAGAGGGTTAAAAGTGCTCCGTTTGTCAGTATTTTTGTTATCATAATCATAAACATCGAGATGTAAGATGTAAGGTCTGATTAATCTCCACAGAATACACCTGGGAGTTGCCTGGTGTCAGCTCTCATGGTACATTACCACTTAGCAGGAGAAGATGAGAAGGAGGTCAGCCTGGCTGCTCCTCCAGATGCCACTTCTTCAGCTTATGCCTTCTTGACCGCACTGGAGAAGGCCATGTTCATGATGCAGGAATCAAGGGCAGTTCTTGGTACTGGAGAGTGAATGAAAACTTCTTGGGGTGGGGGGAGGGGGGTGGGGGGGCAGAAGTGAGTTCAGGGGAGCAAGATACAATACTGTATACTGTATAAGGGATTGAAGTGGCTAGCAGAGTCAATGGTATAGAATCTCTCTGTGTTGCCAGATAGTTCAGGGATTGTGTGGATTTTGTGTTTCTAGATGGCCTTACATAACAAGTGAGGACACAGGCTTTACACTTAGTTTCACAACATACAGTAAATCAAGTAAATTAAGATTTGTGGTGAGCTTCCCTTTGTTACTGTATGTAGTGGGGAACTAAGTAATGAAAGCAAAAGAAGAACTTAATTGGCTTTATCTTTAGAAGAAAATACAAATCTTATTAGTGGTTAACTATATGTTTTGGGAGGAATCAAACCCATTTTAAAAGACAGAAACATTAAAACAATACAGCTTATTGACATCCTCTTATGTTGTGAATAACGTAATATATTAACATAAGACTTTATCAGTAGGCATCAAAACTATTACAGGTCCACAATCCCTTATCCGAAACCCTTGGGGCCAGATGTGGTTCGGTATTCAGAATTTTTCGGATTTCAGAACGGTAGTACGATACATATACCGTATACAGTAAGTCCCCGCTTAACGTCGAGGTTACGTCCCTGGAAATGCGACGTTATACGAAACAACTTTAAGCGGATCAATTTTCCCCATAAGAAATAGATAAAATATGGGAGTTACATTTCTGAGCCTCCCTTTGCCCCATGAAATACATTACATATAGTACAGAAATTCAATGGCATTTTTATACAAAATAGTATATACAGGTATATAAATAAACTAAATAATTTTGTATTGTACTCACTGATGGACAGAGGTGGTGGAGCGAGTGTGTGGTGGGTAATGGAGCGGAGGAGGAGAGTGGCGAGTCACTGAGACCTGACGGGTGGCTCCTCCTGGTTTAAAACCTCCATTTTCGTAGCAAGGGTAATGGTCTTATGTTGTTTCTTCACAACACTAGCATCAGTAGCACTTGATGGGCGCTTGGAAGCAATTTTGAATGGTTCGAGTACAGTATTTATAGCAAAAACACTTAAGCACACACGAATGATGTGAAAGCTTAACAGAGACTGCCTTGGCGTCGCTGTGATGTTCCACTAGTGAGAGGTAGCGCGCCGAGCCGAGAGAGCGTAGAGTGGCCAGACGAGAGATGGTGATGCACCGTAAAATGTAGTCCGTGACGACGCAAAAACAACGTTAAATTGAGTCGTCGGGACGTTAAACGAATTATTGGTATCTAAAGAGTAGCGACGTAGTACCGAAACAATGTTAAGCTGGGCGACATTATACGAGGACTTACTGTATCATGTTAACACCCTAGCGGGGACTGTGGCAGAACCCCTTAAGCAAACACATCAATATTTCTGTAACAAACCTTATGAATATTCACACTGAGTGGGATAAATAAAGACTATAAATAGTATTACAGCTTTTGTATAGTACAGTAAAGACACTAATGGCAAAGAAAAAAGTGAGATGGATTGGGAATACCAAAGTATACGTGCGCACTCAAGGAAACAGCGTCATTTATCTTATTAAGAATATGTACAAAAGAGTCATTATTGTTTATTACTGAATATGTGTTTGATTGAATTAATCTCTCTATATGCGAAGTGAACAATACAATTCATTAAAACTACGTAGAATATTAAAACTAACAAGAGGAGATGAGACGGCATTGTTTTCCTTAATGTTTACACCTGTGACGATGGTTCTGCATAAGAAACTTAAGAAAATAAGACCCTGGTTGTAGCTGTAGTAAAATTAATGTAAAAAAATAATATATATGTTTTAAGTAATGTTATTTAATGTTAATAAATGGGACATTAGAAGTAGCTAACCACTAATGGTAAAGAAAAATAGCTAGACTGATTGGGAACACCAACATATGTAATTGCGTACATGTGAAAACATATCATTATTTCTCTACATAAGAATATGAAAGCAACACCTATTACTGTTCATATATGTTTTAAATAATACCTACAAATGTAAAGCAAAAATTCTACTCACCATTGATGGTAAAGTCTAAAACATAAGGACAGCCAATGAATGTTGTGAGAGTTTTTACTCAGATAACGAAGTCATCAGGTTCAACTCTGGCTGAAGCTGTAGCAATGTTTTCCAATTTTTCATTAGTCTATGGTCATCACTGTCAGTGTAAAACTTCAACAACTTGTCTTTCTGTTTCTTTGAGTCAATACGGTGGTAGTTCCCACACCATTTTCTTTAGTAAGACGCTGCACAGACACACCACGATCAAGCTTCTGTAATAACTCTACTTTCTGTGCTATTGATAATGAGAGATGCTTCATTTTATTCTCACTGTTACCCATAGGGGTATCTGAAGCTCTTTATGGCATTTTCACAGTGAAATTATACAAAATTACAAAAAAAATCAGAGCAGCAGACGCAGGTGTGACTAGTAGCAGCACTGAGACACAACTGACGCCTCACACCCGCTGCCCTGCGTGGGTCAAGCACCGGTGGCGTTAGGTCATGTTCGACGTCACTCAGGGTATGTTGTGCACAAGAGTGATGCTCCATGAAAAAACTTTCGGTTTTCAGAGGTTTGCGGATAAGGTATTGCCAACCTATATTTAATGTTAGTTTTTGTCTTTTAATGTTGATTTAACTTTCAAGTGGATATTCACTTTATTTTAGTTTAGTTAGTACAAAGATAAGTAACCACTAAGGTGAAGAGTGTGTTTTAAGACACATTAAATGAAAGGAGTGTTATCAGTTACCAAGGGCGACCTTGTGTGTGGGTGCTGGGTATGTCCAAACTGCCTTCCAGTAATATATTTTTTTTAATATGTACTATACAATACCTTTGAATATAGGTAATCATTTACATATTTGGCCATACTGTAGATTTAAGTTCATAACCTTGAATATAACCTGAGCTGTCACCTCCCAGATAAACCAGACCTGCCAACTCCTTGAATTACTCCTCAGAGATATCAACTATAGTGTAATTCTCACTGTAATATCCATGGGATGGAGGAAGGGGCCATCAGTGGCACAAATATATTATTATTATTATTATTATTATAGTGATTTTAATGATGTAGATATCAATGGATCATGTGGTACTGTATGACATAAACATTGAACAGACAAAAAAAATTTCTGGGTGGGAACTGAGAAGAGAAGTTTTGCCAAAAATGGGTGGTGATGTTGAGGGGTTGAGCTGAGTACAGTAAACTCTCACTAGATAGTGATCCAGTAGAGTGTCAGCCTCTGATTTAGATAATAATTTTGACATTAATCTTCCTCAAGGGCTCCAACAAAGAGTCGCTTCTTGTGGATGTTGTAAATTTTACGCGATGCTTCCACAATGTCTCACAAGACTTCAAAGCACTTCCTCACTACACACGATCTTTAATATTTAGAAAAGACTTTTGTATGGTGATTGGGATAATTTTTTGGCTTAATAACTTCTAAATGTTATAGTGGGCTTACAAACACATGTGGCATTTCATTCATAATCACAAATGGATGTGTACAATGATTCACTCAGTACAGATTTCATTCCTTTACAACAATTATGAATTCATTTTGATTATCTATGTACTGTAATACTTGTTTTGCTGTGATGAATGAGGAATATTATTACTGTACTCTGTTTGATACGGTGAGGATCATCATGCGGCTGCTACCAACCGAGTCTCACAAAATCCCTTAAAAAGTTAAGTTAATTTTGATAGAGAACAACCCACTGAAGAATAAGACCTTATGGTACCTAACCTTGTTCTTTGGCCCCTTGAGTATGATGACTTGTTTCCTTGTATATGATAACTTAATCAATTGAGTACGATGTCTTAACCCTTTGAATATTATACCCACATTCCCTCAAGTATGATGCCACTATAATTTAGGGGTTATGTCATCATACTCAAAGATAAATTCATCATACTCAAGGGTTGTCATTGTACAGCTGAGGGGGGCGTAGTATTATGTGTTGAGCAGAAACTTTATTTTTATACTTAAAGTTCCTATTTTATCCCCGTTCAGTGGTGTTCTCTGTTCATTCATAACAAATATGGCTTCCAGTTGATAAGTTTCCAAACTCATGAATCAATTTTGATTTTAATGTCTATGATAAGAGATTCTGTCTGGTAATGTAGACCATATTGTTACCCCAGTTAATTTTAGAGTTGTATAATTTCCAGCTACGGAATTTTGGTCAAAGATTTGTGCCAATAGTGATCGCTCTTCTGTTTCTTCTCCCAGGTGGGCTTGAGGTCTGTAGTGTAGGTAGTACCTTTTCCAGGCTACCCAATCTTTTATGATTCCCAACCGTCTAGGATCATTCAACGTTGGCAATGTGTGCTCAATATTTCTTCCATCCCATCGCTCTGTTTCTTAGTAGGGTCTTCCAAATCTCTCTCTCTCTCTCTCTCTAAATAAGTATTAGACCAAGAAAAAACCCAGTATGTATGTATGTATGTTTCTCTCTCTCTCTCTCTCTCTCTCTCTCTCTCTCTCTCTCTCTCTCTCTCTCTCAAAAAACAGTGTTCAAAGTGGATTTATTTCAGAAGCTTGTAGTTAGTGTTTATATCTTGTGTTGATTATCCTAGAATTACAGCCTTACATAAGAATAATCATAGCACAGTTTACATATTTTGTTTTTTTTATTGTCTGTCATAGCACAAGTTTTATCTTTCAGTATAGGGTCCATACAGGGCATCTATTGTTCTTTTTTGTGTACTGTACTTAATTATTCTCTCAGTGACATTTCTCTTGATATTTGCTCCACTTGTTATTATACTTCATAAATGCTTATGTTAACATTAATTTACTGAGCACCAACAATTATGCATCCTAATTAATTCAGGTCGTTTACAGGTCTTTTTTGGGTCTTTTACTCATCATATAAACAGCTGATTTAGTGATATCATTTATAATCCATACATATTAAAACATTACTCCATTCCTTATTATTTAAAGACAAATTTCTGAAATCTGACAATACA